ATATATATATATATATTATATTAAATATATGACTATTTAAGGTCACGGGTATTTAAATGCCCGGGTATACACGGATATTTTTACTGCACGGACTTTAACCCCGTCATAGATAAAAACACGGGTACCCGTGTAGTTCATTACACGTGTAATCGCGACCTCTAGTTAGAACCTTTTCATCTAAGGTGGTGACTGTTTAGATCTATGGATTAAATTCCTTAAATAGAGTATCATATTATGTGCATAAAGAAATAAACTAAATACTTGCCAAATAAAATATAACAATCTGACCAACTGTTGGATATTTTAACCGAATTGAAACAAGAATATGGTTCAGTTTGTATAGAAAATGTAATCATACTAAAATTTAAATTGATCTCCGGGTAAAATGTTTAAATGTATGTTAAATATATGTATGTTGAAGTAAAATCTCTTTTAATTGAGGTTCGAGTTTCATGCATTTTTTAAAGGATTCTTTTAATATCAAAAAGAAAATTTCGTCAAATCTATATTGCATCAATTAAATTACCTAAAAATCAAGTTTTGATAAGCATTTTGGCTTTTCAATAACGAAGAAAATAATAATAAGTAAGTACAATAATTGATGTCTCATACATAGGTAATTTCATAAATAAATTATCTCTTTATCATCGAGCAAATTTATAAAAAAAAAAAAATTAAATATAAGGTATTCAACAATAAGTCTGAAATTATCAAATTTATTTTAGAATTAATTTTTAGCACTTCAATTAATTTTAAAAATAAAAATTTCAGTTAGCGGTTCTAATCTCAATTGAAAGAAAATTCGATTGAAATTCTTTTTATTTATTAAATTTCTGCCTAAAAAATGGACATTTCTACATTTTTAAACACTAAGTAAATATCTATCAATATAAAATATTCTTTAGATATAGACGTATAGACTCACCAGTTAACCTTGTATTTAAAACATTTATTGGTTCTATATCAAGTATATCATTATGATTAATAGTGTCTTTTACAATTAACAATACATCTTTTTTCAATAATAAGTCATCGACATACTTTTCAATCATATTAATTTCTTCTTGAGTATTTTTCAATAGTTCCAAACAGTCATCTTTTGTTATATATCGAGTGGTTGTATCTTCTTGGTTTATTTCTAATTTATTAAGGGTAACTATATTGGCTATATCAGATTTTAAATTATATATCCAACCTGGCTTATAAGTACTTAAATAGTAGATATTGCTTAAGTCATTAGATATGTTATTTAGGTATTTGTTAATTTTATAAATGTACAAATTTTGATGCGTTAATTTTGAAATTATTGATTTTATTTTAACACTTCGTTGTGTAATGTTGTCTTTAAATTGGTCCTCGAAACTGTTTTCATACATTTGTGTAAACATATTTAAAAATGTGATGATTACTTTTAACAGTGGGTATAGTGTAGCCACTAATACTTGCTGCTGAAAAGACTTTAAATAATAACCATCAAAATTAAATAGTGCAGTCTCATATAAATTTATGATATTTGCTTCATTGTTTAAGTGGGACTTTACTCTTACCATTCTCATTGAATTAAGCCCATCGTCAATAACAAATTGATCATTAAATTTACTATAGGGGTTGAGTAAGTCGAAAAATAATAAATTGGATGGATGATAGTCTGAAAAGCTGCCTCTTTGTACTGTAATGTGAAATGTATTACTAGCGAGAGTTTTTAAATTTTCTAAACAATTATGGATTACTTGAATATCATCAGTTCGGAATGGCTTAGTACATTCTTCACTAATATTTGATAAAAATTGAAATCTTTTTTCTAACTGTATAAGATATAAACTTAAACTCCCACATTTTTCGTTCAAAACTTTTACTAAATGATTAACAATCAAACCATAATTTATAACAAACCCCTGCCTCAGTCGTTCTTCTTCCGAAATTACCCTTTTACCTTTAATATCTTCAATATCTGAATACATATAAATATGTCCCATAACATTATTTAAATATAAGTTTACCGTCATCAAATCAGCTGGAAATTCTTTGAAGCCTTTAGTTCGCAATTCATCGAGCATAGACATTACTATGACACCTTGGGTCTTTAGATTTTCTCCGTAATATTTCAAATGGTCCATGTAGGTTACATTTTCAACGTTTTGTTTTGTTGATAAAAGAAAATACTTTTCATTAAGTTGAAAAAAAGTCAGCATATGTTTCGAAAAAGTGCAGTGTAATTTCAAATAACCAGGATTATTCGAGTTTGCATATATTTTTGTAAACAAAAATAAAAATATTATTTGACGTAACATGTTTTACTTTAAAATGAACTTAACAAAAGGAATTGAGAAAAGTATTTGTTTTAACTATACTATTAAATTAAATATTGTTCTCATATATATATTAATCGTTATTTAAAAAAAAAATTTAATTAATTAAATAAGTTCAACTTTTAGAGTTATATTTAATATTACGAAAGAATTAAACATGTTTTATACGTTTATAAAATAAATACAACTGTATTTATTTCAATTTTAGAAAATGGTAAAAAAGTCAATGCTTAAAAATATTTACTGGTACCATTATTATTTACGTCATTTAAATTATGCAAACACTGAATTTTACTACTTTAGTTTTTAAGAATTATTTAAATAATTTGTTCTACTAAATTTACATTAGATCGTACACTATTTAGCTTTTTAGATATGCGAATAATACAAATATTCAATTTACGTTTTCAAACGGTGATTTATTTATAAATACTACGTCTTAAACAAATGGATTTGTTTTAGTGCAATAAAAATTAAAATTTTTAATAAGTGTTAAATATGATACTATTTACTTATATAAAAAATTATAGTTCTTTTTTATTTAAATAAAGTTTAAAACGCAAAACGATTGAAAAATGTATTTACTCTGATAAAATTTGATGGTTTTTTATTTTAGAGAAAAATATTTATCAAATTTCTCAAAGATTTTATTTTTAATTTTTAAAAATCATTAGAGTCAGGGCCGTTGCCATCGCGTGGGCCTTACACCTAGAACTCCTCATTTGTTCCCTACGACCACACAATTAAAAATCCTAAGTTTACTTTAAATACAGCAATTTACATATATTACAAATACTGGTTGAATTTTTAATTGAAAATATTATATTATTACATAATATCAAAATACGAAATACTTATACAGTATAAGGTATGATAATAAAAGTGAATAGGTTTCTATAAAGTTTACTAAATAAGTTATAAATAGATTTGATGAGAAACTGATAAAGGTAATAGGTAAAAATGCTTCTCGGAAGTTAAAATTTCGAAATAGTAGAGATTATGGACTTAGGGGAGTGTAAGTGCGTGTGAAAAGCATCAAATTTTTTTTTCGAAACCCCGCAAAGACTTATGTCTTAGTCCCTGCAGTTTGTAGGAACGTCACCGATTATTGCATTAAAAAATGAAATCGAACAATCTGCTCTTGGCGGTTAAATAGTAATAGGTAGACAGGTTGTTGGTAATGAAATAAAATACTCTTTTATCACACTCTGACCTCATGTGAATTAAAAATTTCAATTTTTGAGATATTGTCAAATTCAATTAAAAACCTCATTTCTCGATTTATTGCAAAGTTTTAGGAGAAGACTAATATACCATTTATTATCTTTATCTAACAGTTTTTCTTGACTCCACCATTATAAGAAAAATTAGCCATTTCTTATTCTAAGACACTTGAAATATCTATTAATCAATATTAATTACTATCACAATATAATTACAATATATATTACAATATAATTAATATCAATATTAATTATATTTTCACAATTAAAAATAAATTTCTTGAAAAAAAATCTCAAAATATGGACATATAATATGATTTTGGTATACTTGATATAACGATATTAATGGACAGAGCAAATTATAGAAAAAATTCAAAGTTGAGAAGGTATTGATTTTGTGATGATATTTATATGTTTGTCCATGAAAATTCTTGGTTCTTAGTGAACTAATTTTAGTAGTCAATATGTCAAACAATCACGATTTTAACGTAGATGGCCTATCAACATTAAAATTTAAAAAAACGGTAGAACAGTGGGGTCGCGCACAATGCGAGCGTGGTATAGTTGGGACAAGTATAGATGATATTGGGCAGTTATTAAAATCACTATCATAAGAAACTCATCGATGCAAATCTGTAGATAGTGTTTAATTTTAAGAAAATGGCGGATTATATCAAAAACAAAATTAACTCCTATTTTTGATTACTTCAACTTCTATTTGCACAAAGAAAATAAGTTGTCGGAACAAATTTTTTTTTTTTGGACTTCTAGTACATGAAATAAGCTTTATTTCAACACATATTTATAAGACACAGTATTCCTGGAATATTTTCAAAGGTTAAGTTGAATAATATCTACTTTTATACAATTTTTATAGTTTTCAAAAATTCAATAAAGCTTTTCTTTAAAGGCAAAAATCTAACTTAAAAACAATTAAGGAAAAATTGCAAAAAAGTCATTGCCACAGCCAATGAATTTTACTGAATCGGAAAACATTTTCGTTTGTCGCATTAGTTATTTGATAAAATTGCCAATTTAAGCTGATTCAAATATTAAAATCACTTTTTTTGACTTGAAAAGAAAAAAAAATTGAAAAAAGTTTAACATTATATTCTATGTCAATTAGATTTATATAATATTCATGAAAAGTATTGTACTCCTCTTATAGGGCGTATTAAAATAAATTAAAATAAAATACCAAAAATTTTAATACAAAAATAGCATATTTCTGAATATGATAATCATTTTCAATATATCTCGAAGTTTTTTTTAATAGTAAAGTATATTACATAAGCTTTAATTTAAGATTAAATAAAAGTTTTCAAAAATTAAGTTAAAAAAGTCTAACTTGTGTGTAAAAAATGTTATTTTGAATCCTCCCCGTGGACAGGTTAAGAGTCAGATTTTCAAAAAAATGTATATTAAATAAAAGAAAAACTTCTAAAATTTCAATATAAAAAAGAATTATTTTAATTTGTTCGTTATTCAAAAAGTTATGGAAGTTTTAACTATTAAAATATTTCATGTTAAACATTTTTACAATGTTGGGACAAATTTTTTTTTTGAACTTATAGTATTTAATATAAGCTTTATTTTGTAATATATTTAAAGCTCAGAGTATTTTAAGAACATTTTCAAAACCTAAGTTGATAAAATTTTTCCTTTTTTCTCGTATTTTTAAAAATTTAAATCTCCCCATGTATAACAGAAAATGGTCTTATTTAAAAGAAAGTAGGTCAGATGAATAATATATATATTTATATAATTTATTTAAAAACAAAAATTTCTGTTGATGTATACATTTTTTTAAAAGTTATAGTAATTTAAAGTTGAAAAGATAAATTATGAAATCATAAATTTTAACACCAATATTGCATGATTTTTTACTACGGCAGCCATTTGCATAAAGAAGATAAGTCGTTTGGACAATTTTTTTTTTTTTTATAGTCTATAAAATTAGTTTTAATTTGAAATATGTTTATGGACACAATATTTCTGGAACATTTTTAAAAACTTAAGTTGAAAAAGTTAAGTTTTGTTAAAAAGTTGCTATTTTGAATCTCCTCTTGTGGTCAGGTAAAGGGTTATATTTTCAAAAATATTATATCAATTAAAAGAAAATTGCATAAAATTTCAATAAAAAAATATTTTGATTTTTCATTTTTCAATAAATGATGACAATATTTAGAAAAAAATGTTGTAATTTACCGATTTTAAAAATTTTAATTTTTTGAGAAATATCCACCATTTACGGGAAGCGAGGGAAATTTTTTGAATTTTTGAGGACAATTCCTTCAAATATATACAATTTGCGATCTTTTGCCGTATCGTTGAGAAAAATCGGTCTTGTGAGAGCTGAGAAAAAGTAATGATAGACAAAAAAAAAAAACAAAATATACACGAAATTATAATAATAATAATAAATATAATAACATTATAAAAAAAAAATTTCCAACGATTGATCTATTATGTGAAATTGGTCATCAAAGTAAAAAAATAACGTTAATATCAATTAAGCAAATAATTTAACAATTATATTATTATTATTAAATTCTAATTACATTATAATTTATACAATTATATGTTCCACTGAAATTTTAAATTTAAAAATTTAAAAATCATGAAATTTAATAGATTAAAATTTTAATAGGGATAAAATTAAGGGAATAAGAGTTATTGTTGCATTTAAAATACTCTACCAATTTCTTAAACTTAAATACTATCTACAGATTTGCATCGAAGCGTTTTTTATGATTATGTCAGATATAATCTATACTTCTAAGTTCCAACTTCACCTCTTACCCATTGTGCCGTAACCCCCTACTGTGCTGGTGTTTTTAAAATTTTTCAATTTTATCAACTATTCACTTTATTACATTAATTAATAGTGATTATATATTCATAGAATTTTTATTTATGATTTACAGTCTTAAAACTATCTAAAATATTTGATTAATTAATTGATTTTTATTTAATTTTAGCATATAATACTGTCTATACAATGTAAAATTAATTGATTCTTGTAATTTACGACAAATATATTAAAACGAGCACTTAATATTAATTAAATAATGATGTCATATTATTTTAAAATAGTATTGATATAGGTTTGAATACTTGCACAAAAACGGTTCAAGACTATATTATTACGATTAAAACTTCTTCTTTCACATGATTTGTAAAAATACGTATTCACATGAACTTTCGATACCCTTTAAAAAAATTTTAATTTTTTAATTTACGTCAATTTATTCACGCGAATATTTTTATCATCACGTGATCATATAATCACGTATTAATTAATATATTAAACTATCTATTTGGTAGAGATATTATTAATAGAAAAAGTAAATGACATATAGAATAAACCATAACAAAAAATAAACCATAATAAAATCAAATACAAATCTCAGAAACTTATATAATAATTGCTTAAAATATTATAAATAAATAAATTATCCTTTATAATAATTAAATTTCTTAAAATTTTTACATTTTCACTATTTTATGATACAGAAAAAATAACGAAACAAAAATAAATTCTTAAATTATTTTATAAAAGTAATAATTAACATAATAATTCTCTGTTATGAAACAACAAAACTTACATTTTATGTTTATATAAGCCTTATACTTAAAAAACTTCTTATTTTTCTGGAATTAAGTGCACTTGCAGATCGATAACGTACATTTTGTAAATGTCTTATTAAAGATTTGTTTGTTCTATCTACACATAAAAATCTAATGTAATCATCAGCATCACACAAAGTGTACAGTGTACCTTTTAGTTTTTGAATTACACTTGATTTCTTAAAATAAAAAAATTTCTTTATTTTGTGCATTTTTGTAATAGGATAACATAGATGCATAGA